GGCACCGAGAAGAAGACCGAGTGCCGGGGGGCTAAACATAGCCAGTGCGAGAGTCATTTGAACTGCACCATTATTGGGTTGACCATCATCTATGGTCTTTGCACCACCCCTGAGAATGTTTGCAACATTGTGGTGGCCTACATGTCCCCTGACATGTCCAGGCAGACCTTGGACCTGCTCAGTCTCATCAACCAGTTCTTCCTGTTCTTCAAGTGCTCCGTGACACCTGTCCTGCTCCTGTGCCTCTGCAGACCCCTGGGCCAGGCTTTCATGGACTGCTGCTGCTGCTGCTGTGAGGGATGCAGCCCTGACACCACCTCCAGTGAGGGTAGTGCTGACAGCAAGCTCAAAACAGAGATGTCCTCCTCCATCTTCTTTGATAAGCCCCGGGAGTCCCCCCCACCCCTCCTGGCCCTTGGCACACCTTGCTAAGTGCTGCCAAGGAGCTGTAGAGATCATCTTACCACCTTCTCCCAAGACCAACATTTTGCCATTAGTGCCTGTGTCTGGATGTGGAGCATGCAGAAGAGACAGCTCAGGGGCTGCGCCACAGGCTTCCGACCCCACACCGGACAAGGGGTTTCCAGTCCACATGGCTACACTGGTGGCCTTCTCGCCTCTGCCAAAAGGCCATCAAGGACACCCGCACTCTCCTGTCCATGCACCCTGGCCTGGCTCAGAGAGGTTGCTGCCCTGGAAACAGAGATGTGCCGGAAAGGTCCCATCTGACAGCAAGGAGGGTTTCCATGGTGACTTGCAGAGGACATAGCAAATATAACCTGCCCTCGTCCTGTCCCATCCCCTCCTGCCAGCCCCCTCCACAGTAGAAGAAGGCCCCAGTGACTATGTCCCATCAGATCCAAGCCGTGCCCTGTAAGAGCTCAATAAATCAGTAACTCAGAGCACATCGTGCATGCTGTTATCCAGCATTGCAGACCAAAGCCCTGGGGGGTGCCAGCGCTTTGGGCTTGGATATGACCATGATGCTCCCCTAAGATGTGGGGGCTTTGGGGTGGGTATGAACAGGCAGGGGACAGTCACCCTGAGCCCAGCAAGGGGCCAGTGCGAGGGGTTGGTGAGGCTCATGCAGTGCTGGGCAGGAAAGCAGCCATGCTGGGCCCAGGGCAGCACCTGATAGAAAGGGGGAAAGGTCTCCAGCAACTCTGCTCTCCTCCCTCTAGGTTGCTTCTGAGCATGCCGATGGCAAGCCAGCCCCTGGTGCAGTGCCCTCCAAAGTGCCAGGCTCAGGGCTGTTCGTAGGGCTCAGTCTGGCCCTAGGAAAGCCCAGCACTGGGGAGAGGTGCCCTGCGAGGCACCCAGCTCATCTGCGGCAAGGTGCAAGCCCTGGCTTTCATGCCCAGAGCCTCAGTGCAGCTCTGGTGCTGCACAGCACCTTGGGCAGCAACAAGGAGGGAGCTGTGCAGGACTGCCAGCCCCCAGGACCCCAGCACCATTTGGGGCAGCCAAACAGTTCTCATCCAGGAAGGCCTGAGCAGGGTTCCTGGTCTTTGTCACCTTGCCCATCAAAAGTGAAAAACAGTCCTGAGATTATGCTTGCAGGGTATCGGGTTTTCTAAGCACCACATCCACTCCCTTGCCCACAGCTCTTGCACCTGTGCAAATGCTTTCAGGAGCATTTCAGGCAGTCAGCGCAGGTCAGGGACAGCTGAGGGCAGGCTGGGCACAGAGCGGCCAGGCGGCTGGGCCTCCCTCCATGCGCTTGGGCCTCCCGGCCCTGTTCGGTGGAGCTTGTTTAAGCTCCTTGTTCTCTCCCTTTGGCGTCCACCCCCAGGCCGATGAAATGCCAGGGAGAGGGAGACGGTTGCTAAGGGAGCTGAATGCAAGGGGCTCACTGAGGGCTTTGTACAGGCAACGACACCCACTGGGCTTTGCTTTCTCGGCCCAGTTGCCAGGGAAACAAAAGCCCCAGTTTTCTTCGGAGCGGAGAGCGTGCAAAACTGGATTTTTTTCTCTTCCTCCCCCACCAGCCCCAGGGGAGTCCCTGGCCTGCACCCTCCCCCTGAGCTGCTGGGGGCCGCAATGGGGTTTAGGAGCATCTCACAGCTCTGAGGATGGAGGAAGGCAGTGAAAAGAGGAGTTTCCATGCCTGGGTGCAAGGATGAAAGAGGTCCAGAGCCCACACTGCCCACCATGCCCTCACTCCCTTCCTCATTCCTGTCCAGCAGGCAAGGCGAGAGCTGAGTTCCTGGCAGGAGGAAAGGGTGCCTGAGGCAGCGAGCCCCCCCCACATCCAGGCCTGGGCAGTGGGAGGAAGGGAGAAGTGGATGCTTTCATGCGGTTCATTCTGTGCCGGTTTGTTCTGAGCCCGGACCAAGAGGGAACAATGCTGGGCTTGTTGCTCCAGCCCTGCTCAGCGGGATGCACGTGGGGAGGAAGAGCCAGGGAGAAAAGCCGGGGCTGGGTGCAGGGAAGCTGCAGGCAGCAGCAGCAGCTAGGGCTGCAGGCAATACGCCCTGCACCAGCCCCAGCAGCAAGGGCCCTAAGGGCAGGCAGAGCCCCTTGGGGCCCACAGGGCCAAGCTGGACCTGAGCTCCAGTCCAGGTGCCAGAGCACTGTGCAGGTACCAGCAGGGGTAGGATGGCTGACAGCCCTCCCTGGGCAGCATCAGCCAGGGTCTCTCTACCGCCCTCAAAGAGGCTCTCCCATGGGTGCAGAACAGCCAACAGCACAAAGATCGAGCAGGAAAAAGGGATGCAATGACAAGCTGCTTGGAGGGCAGCTCCCTTGACGTGCATTGGGGTGCTGCCAGGCACTGGGGGCTCAGGTACCCAGGTAGGGTGCTACAAAGCACAAACCACAACTCCCACTGTTCAGTGCAAATGAGATAGCTGGAGCAGACCCCAGAAACACATGGTACAGAGAAGTGCCCCCCATCAACAACGGCCACTGCCGAGAGCAAGTGGCTGGTGCAGTCAAGGGGGCAGGGAGCCTTGAAGCAGCCTCATAATCCCAGCTCCAACTCAAACATCAAAGTGCTGCACCCTGGAACTCCCTCAGGATACAGTGTGTGGCGGGAGACAAATGTCTGGTCTATGGGACAACTGTGGCTGGAGGTCTCCAAGCGCATCTTCATATCCAGGTCAAGAAAACAAGGCATCTGGAGCCATCAGATTTGGCTCCAGCACCTCTTCGGTGAGCACGGTCATGCAGGCATCCAGAGCTGCCAAATCTTGCAGGGTGAGCGCTGGCATTTCCCAGCACCAGCATTAATGTTGAGGGTGACTGGCAAGGCCTGTGCCTTGTGCTCCAGGGTATGCACATGGCCCCACAGAGGGGGGAAGGATGGAGAGAGGACAGGGAGAAAGCAACACGACTGCAACTACACCCACCAACGCAAAATTGTTAATTTATTATTATTAGGAGGCAAAAAAAGTGTACAGTTACAAGAATCATTTCCCAACAGAGGTCAAATCTGAGCCAAAATCTCTTTAAAAAAAAAAAAAAAAAAAAAAAAAAAAAGGGGGGATGACAACACTTTACAATTGATTAAATTAAAAAAAAAAAAAAAGGAAGAAGAAAGAAAAAGGAAACCTCTCTTTGTGCAATTCTGCAAAAATGAGAACAGAAGAGAACACCACAGCCTTGCTGCCCCCAGGAGCCAATCCGCATAAGGGAAAAGGGCTCCGAGAGGGACCCTGCAGCCTCCCATGCTGGCTGCAAGCTGCCTCTCAGCAAAATACAGGCAGGGAGGGGAGTGCAATGGCCTCTGGGTTACCTCCATCCTCTCCCTCCAGCCCTGAGCTGGAAAGAGGCAGGTACCACCCCCACTGTGCCACAGCTCTGACCCCACTTAAGCACCCTCATTTCTAGGTTCAGTTTGTTTTCCTCCACCCCCTGCCCCGCCAGAAGGCCCAGCTATGTGTGCATGTGTCCCTCCACCCCCCGGACTGGCCCATAGGCAACCTGGCAAGGCCCCAAGGCTGTCCTGTGCAGAGATCCAGCAACTCAGTAAACATGGGCAAAGCCTTTCTGACCCATCCTGGAGACTAGGCACCCTCTCGCTCTTTCCCCATGTCCTGGAAGGGACCAAACACTGACACTCACCAGCCCTGCTCTCCCCTCCACCTCACTGCCCTTGGGGCCCGAGGGCACTGTGGCTCCCTCCAGAATGAGGAGGTACCCAAGGGAAGGCACAGGGGCTAGCTCCAGGACAGCAACATATGGCAAAAGGGAGCAGGACACACCTTGCAGCACTGTCCTCACTCCCAGCAGGGACTGCTGCTGGTGCCAAAAAGCTCTCAGGCTCCCACATCCACAGGGGAAAAGTGCCTCCTTCTTTATGCCCCAACACTTCTGTGTGATGCGTTCAACCAAATGAGAAACCAGCAGACCCTAGCCAGCAGTAGGGGGATGCCTTTCGGCTTGCAAGAAGCAATCTTAGCCACCTGGAGAAGTTGGGCTAGGTAAGGCTGACGTATCTGTGAGGGAGAGGGCAGGGGTCAGCCCCATGCTCTCTGCCAGTAGGGGTGACTGCTTGGCATCAGCAGGTCCCTCTGCACTAGCTCCAGGCCACTCAAATTACTGCTACAGCTGCACTGAGGCTTGCAAGGGCAGCCAGGGCAGCATCCTGCCCAAGCATGGGGGGCCCAGGCAGGCTCGGCTCCCAGCTGTAGTCACCATGCTGCAGCAGATTTCCTCAGCGTGGGGCAGTCCGAGGGCCCTGGACACAACTCTGCCCAAACCCTGGTCAGGAGGAAACACAGAGCAGGGAGACAAGTTGCCCATGGCAGCAAGGAGGGGGTCAGGGGCAGCAGTACAGGCGCTTGAGACACTGCGTGGAGGTTGATCTTACCAGGTCATGAGAGATCCCTATCTTCAAGGGCAGGGAGAGTAGCCCAGGGAGAGGGACAGCATCACCTCTCCTGCCAGCTGCGCCTACTGCACTCAAGGGCAAGCTCTGCCCAAAGGAGGTCAAAGCACAGGGAAGGGCTGTTCTTCTGCG